TTTGTTTAAGTAATAATTGAATTAAATTGTTGAAAGTTCCTCTTTGCTTACCATTTTCCTCATTTATGGGACTTATTAGCACTTGCTTCAACTTCGGAATATAAACTATCAAACGTTTCTTGACACTATCCATATCTATTAATTATCCTGCTTCAAAAAATCGAAACCTTCTCTCTTAAATAGCTTTCACTGACAGCATAAACACAGCTTCCAAAAGGAAGAACCTAGAGCAAGCGGTTTCCTTAATAAATCATGGTGGAAACGATAACCATATACTTTGACTTTATTTTTTTCCTCTCTCTTTCTGCCTTTTAAACTATGTACCATTTCCATTTCCTGATTTTTCATGTTCAGTAGACGTGTATTACAGAAGTCTTCGGAGGGAAAATATTTTGTGTTTGTTTACGCTGAATTGATTGCCACGCGTGTGCAATCATAAGGAAAGGGCACTAAAAAAAAAAAAAAAAAAAAAAAAAAAAATGGTAGCACCAAAGCCATTAAACATACGAAGCAGCATCCAGCCATTCCGGAATCCTCCATTCGCTTTCCAATCCTCTCACACTAACGATGTTCCTTGCATTTCATTCTAGTTTTTACGTATATGTGCTTATCTATGTTTATTTTATTTGTGAGTCTTATTGATTTTCAATTTCAATTTTTCAATTTCCCTCTTTCTATTTTTTCGTTTCCTGCCCTCCCCCTTTCTCTGTCTTGTTCATTTTCTTCTCTCTTCCTTTTTTGAAACTGCATCCCATTTGCCATCTCGTCTTGCAGCCATTTGTGTAACTATTGTGAAACCTTCACCAGCTGTTTCTTCTCTACTCTTTATTATTATTATTATTATTAATTATTATTATTTTTTTTCCTGCATTCCTTTTTTTTCCTTTTTGTTCTTGTCTCAGGTTTCTCCTTAAAATCATCATACATAGAACGATACGCCTTCTTTATCTACTGCTTTTTTTTTTCTTGATTTCACTTTTACTTTCATTGCAAACGAAACATTACTTAATTCCTCAACACAATACCCAATGAAGTCAAATCAATATATAGACTCAAAACATAGCAATGAACTTACACATTTCCCCCGAGTTTTAAAATCAGCGTATAGCTCATGAATGTGAGTCACAGTTACTCGTTAACAATGAATAGTAATGAGGATAGTCTGGCGAGTGTGAAAGTATTCTGAGAATCTCCGGTTAGCTTAGCGTTATGATCACCCAAAGGGAGCGTATGATATTCTAAATCACTGTGTATCATATAAATATACAGTTGACTGTGCGTAACACGAAAGTAGGTTTTAAATACCAGCATGATCCAACACAACAGATTTAATTTGTCAAGATGGGTCCAGCGTCCTAGACAGATTCAACGCGAAAATTATATTGATCACATCAGTTAGGTATTCACATGGTTTCAAGATAATACTTAGCTACAACATGGCAACATGGATTCGACATAGCAGCAAGAAAACCCAAACACGAGTTGAAATCAATGACAAAAAATTCAACACGACAGAGACTCTAGACTGAACACGATAGAGAAACTGGTCTGATGTAGTAGTAATAACCGTGTATGGCTATATAAGTTTACATAAATGTGCAATGAAACATGCTTTGTTTTAAATATATCATGAGATGTATAAGTACCTAGCATTAACATAATTTGATGGACACAGAAAGAGAACGTAATCAAATAATTCGTAATGTTATCTGTGACATTACTGTGTTTTTATCATTGATGCTGTTGCATGCTCATGATCCTTATTGTCATCGTCATTATCATTATTATCAGGAATATGCGAACGAGTAATACTATTAATAATAATGTATTTTTCATTTTTACACGGATGTTTTCATTCATACAGTAATTAAAGTGATAGAAAATATGGAATTACGGTGAAATAAATTGATGATAAAAATGAATTTGTATTATCAGAATACACGGAATCTTCTATTCTTTTGTGATTAAGAATGAACCCCTCTCTGTTTTGTTTACTTCTATTGTAAAAATAATATACATATATGTATATATATATTTTTTCTGATGATTAACTGATTGTACTTTCATTCCTTTTCCGTTTCTGCAATAGCTGACTTGATATAATTACGTAGTTACATGTTTATCTGATCTTCGTACTTTACTTTCCTCATTATCCAGTAATTCATATTCAGCGGAGGTATAGACTGCTTCCTGTAATACCTTTCTTGCACAAGGCTTGGCGATGCTGTCTCGCTATTGGTCGGGGCGTAAAAAGACCAATGACATTAAAGGATATTTTGCTACAATATCAGGCAGGATATATATAAAGGCCTTAGACCAGAGCTTAGTATACTCATATGCTTACTGAGAGAACAGAACATTAAGTCTCTATCTTTGAGATTCTTTATCTACTGAGTGATTTCAAGGTGTGTATATGCAAATTTGTGAAAAAAAGATCTGGTTATTACATAAGGTGAAATAAATCACGATGTTTATAGACTACAGTGTTTCTTCATTGTTTGCCATGGAGTTTTACATTCTGACTTCTGTTGTGATTAACTAAGAATTAACGTTTTGTTTTTCTTTTAGATGAATAGCGCCCTAATCCTTCTGGTGGCCGTTGGTCTTTCCTGCTTGATGGCAGTCCAAGCAACCTCATTCGGCGTTCTAGCCGGCCTAGGAGCCTTGACGAGCGCTATAAGCAAACGGAGATATCACGGTGCAAGCCATGGACGCGGCCATGGCCATGGATATAGAGCTCCTAAAAGGAAGTACCGTCTCCGCTACCGCCGCTCCGTCGCAGCAGCTGATGAGGAAGATGACCTGATTTTATCTGCAGTAGGACAGCTGGATGCCGACACCTGCATCCCCAAGATGTTTTGCGTCCTGCAGGCGAAGGATGAATCCGATCGCACACTGAAAGAGAACATGCTTGTGGAAATCTTAAGCGATAATACCATGAACCCAAACTCCTACAACGCTGCCTTCGTCTACGCTAGAGTCGTCGCCACTGAGGAGAAAGACTCCTCCGTCTGCAAGAAGGTTTTCCCCAAATGTTCACTTGGTGAGGAGGAACTGAGTGAGCTCTTGGATCTGGCATGGGGCTGTGACTGCAGCTCTGGAGGGAAGAGTAAAGCTTGCAGCTAAAACTCATTGTCGCATCTGTTGGCATCTTCCTATGGCTAGAGCCACAGAAGGGTGACAAGGTGCTTCTCTCTCTAATGTCGTTGGACAGCGAAAACACATGTTCACTGATGAGTCATACTGCAAAGAGAAAATCTCTAATTGCGATATGTCCTGCTAGTGTTCATACATTATATGCAGATATTCTGTGCCTATTTAGATAATATTTATTTGCTTCATGACTGCGAATATACAGGTGGTTAACCCAAAACAGATGTTATTTTCTACACCACATGCTGTATATTATGACAGCATATTTCTTACCATGCTGAAACTTTGATGACTTTAGACAAATAAATTTAAATATAGTTTCTAGAATGATTGTGTTTTATCCCTTTCTTTTTCACCATCACCTAACACATTACATATATTTCCAGGCATATTGTACAAGAATCCTGATTAGGCCACCAAAACTTAATAAATCTATGTCTGCATAGCTATATTTATTTATATCTGTATCAGTCTATCTTTATATGAATTATATATTATTTCTATCTATCTATATGTATTTATTTATCTATATATGTACCTATATATCTATATGTAAAATATGTATATATACATGTCCTTATTATAATAAATATATATAAACGTATATACATGTGCATGTACTTATTTATCAATTAATCTATGTTACATTATAACTATATACATATACATATTTAAATAAATATATAAATGTAATTATATGACAAAGGAACAACGCAGGGAAGAACAAGAAAACTCTAAGGCATTTTCGCTGCATTGCTTCTTCAGGGTTTCTTCATGCCTTGGATAAACAATATATATACATATACATACTTACATTCATATATATGGACACACACACACACAAGCATATATATATACTTGTACACATGTTTATGCATCTATCTATATTTACATATAAATTTATATATAAATGCCCATATACATATGTGTATGTATATATATGTCTGTATATGTCTCTCTTATATATACATATATATACATACGTACATATATACATACACTCATGTATGTGCATATATATACACATTTGTTTTTGTTTAAGTATAATTGAATTAAAATGTTGAAAGTTTCTCTTTGCTTAACGTTTTTCACATTTATGGGACATTAGCACTTGTTTCAACTTCGGAATATAAACTATCAAACGTTACTTGGAAATATCCATATCTATTAATTATAAAAAAAAAAAAAAAAAAAACCCTTTCTCTCTTAAATAGCTTTCACACAGCATAAGCACCAAAAGGAAAAGCAAGCAAGTTTCCTTAATAAATCTTTTCAACTTCTCTTTCTTTCTACCTTGTTATTGAAAATAATGGAATTTGATTGCACGCGGATCAGAAAGAAGCACAAAAAAAA